AACAATGATAAAAATAAGATATTTGATATGTGTGATAAGATACTCAAGGACCCTAAGTATGATAACGATATAATTTCTGAACCATTAACAGTAAATCAAAAGCAATTTATAGGACAACTTGAATCTCAATTATCCATGCACCTTGAAAATGTCGGAGCATACACGATTAGTTTCGAATCTTCTAAGAAACCTTTTTTGAATATGAAAATAGAAGAAATGAAAGGACTTGAATATCCGGTTGCTCTTATTATTGCAGCACAAGGGTATCCAAATATCGAAATGACTATCGTTGATATATGTAATCATACTTATTTTAAGGATTTTATTAGGACATATTATGATTTAGATTTTGATAATACAGGAGGCATTTTATATAACCAATTAAAAACTATCATTCTAGCAACCAAAATCAAATAATATGATTAGCCCACGTGATAATTTTACAAAAAAAAAAATTATTGTATCAAATAAAATTTAAAGATCTTTAACTTGTAACACTCAGAAACCCCCTAAATAAAATAACAATCTTATATTGTCTATATGTGAATTTATTTGTTTGATTGTACAAATGTAATGGTACAGTTCCAAACTCATGGTAAGTACACGTAACTACGCCAGTGCCAGTATCAACCGTCCCATTAAACAAAACATGACCCGTATTAGTATAAAAATGCATCAGGGGTACCTAGTAAGATTATGACCAACCAAGTTAGATAAACCGATAATATGAATATCATGATCCCAGAAGAAGTTCGTGAATATTTAATGAAGCTTCCTGATGAATATAAGGAGCAAAAGATTGGAAGTCTTATCTGTGAAACAGAATTAGAACCAGAAACAGTTTTTAGTATATCTGATGGAATTAACCAGGTTATAACAAAATACAAATTTATAGTCAGATGCATACCAAATAAAAACAAACGTAATAAGACTAGACCAACACCACGACCTCCAAACGCGTTCATTCTCTATCGTAAACATAAACATGATACCGTGTTCTCATCATATGATAATATAAATAATAATGATATTTCCAAAATGATAGGACAAATATAGTACAATGAACCTGTTGAGGAACGGCTACGATGGCAACAGATCACCAAAGGTGTAAAAGAACAATATAAAAAAATGTATCCAATGTATAAATATAAACCAAGACGTCCACATGAAAAACAGCGACGAAAAAAGAAAACTAAAGACAACAAACCTACCATTATAGAACCCCAACCCCAACCCAAGTCTGAATATGTACCAGAACCTGATGCAAAACCCGATCATGAAAATAGTAACAACATCATACCCTATTTAGAGGAAGAAACAGGAATCGGTAAATAGAGTAAACAGCCAAACTCATACTACCAACTTCAACCGAACACAGAACAACGAGAAATGTTGATTGAAGATACACAGGGAGCCGTGGAAGAATTCATTTACCAACCAATCAACATTCT